CCCTGGGGACTCCTTTCACTGTTGCACCGCTCGAGAGCCCTTCAACACTTTTTCCACGGTGTTGTGGTATATAGTGCTGAATCGTTCTAGAAACAGCCCTGTAGGAATGAAGCTTCCCATTAGACAGTGATATTGATCAGGTGTGCCTCTCTCCCCTCAGGTGTGACCCCCCACTGTGTCGAGGTCTCCTTGCCCCCCCCCCCACAGCTCTCCGCCACATCAGCTGAGATATGATCACACATCTGGATTAATCGAAGCTGTACAGCAACAAACATGTGAGTCTCCAAAGATTAAATGCATCTTAAATCCTCGCTTTTTCTGTTTTATTGATTGATTATGTTGTCTTTTTTATACTTCTATACTGTTTTGTGTTTTACTAAGTACATGTTTTTCAAAATAAAAGCTTCATAGAGTTACTTTATCCTAATGGGAAGCTTAAACACCTCTCTTAGCTCAGGATGTGTCCCAGCTGCCTTCAAACATGCCGTGGTTAAGCCACTACTTAAAAATCTCGACCCCTCCATTCTCACAAATTTTAGGCCCATCTCCCAGCTACCCTTTTTATCTAAAGCCCTGGAGCGAGTAGTCTACGCCCAGCTGCAGTCGTTCTTAACCATGCATGGCATCCATGAAAAGTTTCAGTCTGGCTTCAAACCCATGCATAGCACTGAAACAGCCCTTTGAAGAGTTTTTAACGATCTGCTCCTAGCCGCCGACTCAGGCAGCCCAGCTGTCCTGGTGCTGTTAGACCTGACAGCTGCCTTTGACACTGTGGACCATAGCATCCTGTTGTCACGGCTTGAACAGTCCGCAGGCATCACAGGCTCTGCCCTTGCATGGTTCAGGTCCTACCTGACACACTGTAGCTTCTCAGTGCAGCTAGGTGCCTTCTCCTCTGCAAAAGCCCCTCTTACCTGTGGGGTTCCCCAAGGCTCTATCCTGGGCCCCATCCTCTTTTTACTGTACATACTGCCCCTAGGTTCAATTTTCACTAAACACAATATTCCCTTCCATTGCTACGCTGATGATGTACAGATCTATCTGCCTCTCAATTCAAATGTCAAACACTCACTACTTGAAGGACTGCTTAACAGAGATCAAATCCTGGCTGAGCCAAAATGTCCTCAACCTCAAAGAGAGCAAGACTGAGGTCATCTTTTTTGGACCCCAACCTCCAGCCTCTCCGGTTGATATTCTGGGCTCCGTCAATGAAAACATCCTCCGCTCTGTTATGAACCTTGGAGTGACCTTCAATAGCACTTTTAAATTTGATAAGCAGGTCAGCACCGTAGTCAAGACCTGCTTTTTTAAAATAAGACTATTGGCTAAGACCAAGTCATATTTATCTTTTAAAGACCTAGAAAGGGTTATTAACGCCTTTGTTACCTCGAGACTGGATTACTGCAACGCTCTGTATGTGGGTATGGACCAGGCCTCAATTAGACGCCTGCAGCTAGTTCAGAACGCAGCTGCACGTCTTCTTACTGGCCATAAAAAGCGTGACCACATCACCCCAATTCTGGCTTCATTGCACTGGCTTCCAGTTCGGTTCAGAATAGATTTTAAACTCCTTTTATTTGTTTTTTATGCCCTAAATGGGCTGGCTCCTCCTATGTAGCTGAACTCCTCCATCGCTACACCCCAGGCAGAGCCTTAAGGTCGGCTGATCAGCTGCTGTTGATAGTGCCTAAGACCAGGCTCAAAACCCGAGGGCATACGAGCCTTCACAGCAGCTGGCCCCAGGCTCTGGAACACTCTGCCCCTCTATGTGAGGTGGGCCCGGACCCTGGGGGTTTTAAATCTACTCTAAAGACTCACTTTTTCTCTCTGGCCTTCTAGTCAGAGCGGAGCACGACTCCTGACTGTTCCCTGTGTTTTTTGTTTTTTATATTGCTGTTGTAAATTATTGTCTTTTATTGTGATTGTAGTAATGTGTTTTTATTACATGTACAGCACTTTGGCTCGACCAACAATCGCTTTTAAATGTGCTTTATAAATAAAACTTGATTTGATTTAAGAAGTGACACGTTTTTCAAAAGAAAAGCATTTATTTAGCTGTTCTTCTGTTTCACTAAATACATCACAGACCTCTGTTTTTCTGCTTCCACACACACACACACACACACACACACACACACACACACACACACACACACACACACACACACACACACACACACACACACACACACACACACACACACACACACACACTCACACTCACACTCACACACCCCTCTCTCTCTCTCTTAAAGGGACAGTGATCTCGTCTCACTCTGTATGACCCTAATATCGTAACATGTGTGTTCTGGAGAATCACAGAACGGACGATCGTCCTTATTATTATGCCGTTTAAACCAATTATTTAAATGTGTTAATAATAATAATTCCTTACATTTATTATAGCGCTTTTTCAATGACTCAAAGCGCTTTACATATACACACATTACACATATTACATTACATTACATTGCATTTAGCTGACGCTTTTATCCAAAGCGACTTACAATAAGTACATTCGACCAGGAAGACACAACCTTGAAGAAAACAGAATCATATAAGTATATCAGGTTTCATAGAGCCAAACATTTCAAGTGCTACTCAACTGGCTTTAGGTAAGCCAGTCCTTTATTAGTATAAAAGTGCTTCGTTAATAGTTCTATCGCTCGAAGTGGAGTCGAAAGAGATGAGTTTTCAGTTTGCGCCGGAAGATGTGCAAGCTATCTGCCGTCCTGATGTCAATGGGGAGCTCATTCCACCATCTTAGGAGCCAGGACAGCAAACCCACGTGTTTTCGCCGATGGGAACTTGGGTCCCCCTCGCAGCGAGGGTGCAGCGAGTCGTTTGGCTGATGCAGAGCGTAGTGCACGCGCTGGGGTGTACGGTTTAACCATGTCCTGGATGTAGGAAGGGCCAGATCCATTCGCAGCATGGTAAGCAAGTACCAGTGTCTTGAAGTGGATTCTAGCAGTTACTGGAAGCCAGTGAAGGGAGCGGAGGAGCGGAGTGGTGTGGGAACATTTAGGAAGGTTGAAGACCAGACGAGCCGCTGCATTCTGGATGAGCTGCAGAGGTCGGATGGCACATGCAGGTAGACCAGCCAGGAGGGAGTTGCAGTAGTCTAGGCTTGAGATGACGAGAGCCTGGACCAGAACCTGAGTCGCTTTCTGAGTCAGCTGGGGACGTATCTTCCTGATGTTGTAAAGCGTGTATCTGCAGCAACGGGTTGTAGCAGCGATGTTTGCAGTGAAGGACAGGTTGTTATCTAGGGTCACACCCAGATTCCTTGCAGTCTGAGTCGGGGAAACAACAGAGGGGCCGATGTTGATTGTTAGGTCAAGAGTGGGACAATCTTTTCCCGGGAGGAAGAGCAGCTCAGTCTTGTCAAGGTTGAGCTTGAGGTGATGAGCAGACATCCACTGAGAGATGTCAGCTAGACAAGCAGAGATGCGTGCGACGACCTGGGTCTCTGAGCGGGGAAAGGACAGAATTAATTGGGTGTCGTCAGCGTAGCAGTGGTAAGAAAAACCATGCGGGCTAATGACTGATCCGAGCGAGTTTGTGTACAAGGAGAAGAGGAGGGGACCAAGAACAGAGCCCTGAGGGACGCCCGTAGTTAATTGACAAGGGTCAGACTCAGACCCTCTCCAAGTAACCCTGTAGGTACGGTCTTTCAGGTATGAGGTGAGGAGGGAAAGTGCAGAGCCTGAAACTCCAAGTTTTTGGAGAGTGCGAAGGAGGATCTGATGATTCACCGTGTCGAATGCAGCAGACAGGTCCAACAGGATGATGACAGATGAGAGGGATGCAGTTTTGGCAGTGTGCAGTTCCTCCGTGACAGCAATGAGAGCAGTTTCTGTGGAGTGACCTGCCTTGAAACCAGACTGGTGCGGATCCAGAAGGTTGTTCTGATTGAGTTAACAGGAGAGTTGTTTAAAGACAGCGCGTTCAAGTGATTTAGACAGGAACGGGAGGAGAGAGACAGGCCTGTAGTTTATAACATCAGACGGGTTGAGAGTGGGTTTCTTTAGGAGAGGGTTTACTCTTGCCTCCTTGAGACTGTTTGGAAAGTGACCAGAAGTTAGAGAAGTGTTGATGAAATGGGTGAGAAACGGTAGAATATCAGGAGCGATAGTCTGAAGGAGGTTTGAAGGGATAGGGTCCAGAGGACAGGTGGTAGGGCGGGCAGAGGTAATGAGGGTAAGAACCTCACTTGGAGAGAGAGGGGAAAAGGAGGTTAGTGTGTTGGTGGAAGGAAGGTCTGGTGACATATATCATACATGCAATGATCAGATACTGTGGACAATACCCACAGGAGCAAGTTCAGGTGAAGTGTCTTGCCCAAGGACACACCGGCTTTACAGACGCAGCAGCGGCAGGTTTCACCCCTTGATCTGATGATCACAGCGCACTGCGCCACACCGTCCATCTTCACGCCTCAAGGTGCTTTTACAAGTACACATTGATATCATACATGTACTGTGGACAATACCCACAGGAGCAAATCCGGGTGAAGTGTCTTGCCCAAGGACACAACGGCCTGACGCAGTGGCGGCAGGAGCGGGTTTCGAACTGGAGTTCCCCAGCACTCCCCCTTGATCTGATGATCGGATGCACAGACCACTGCGCCACCCGTCCGTGTTGCGCTTACAGGTCCACACACTGCTTCCCAGCGAGGCTCCTCCCACCCTCCTGTTGACAGTTCATGAGCGTCAAGCTCCCCCCCCCCCCCCCGGTTGATAATTCACGATCGTCGGCACGCTGATAAAACGTTTTTTTTGTATTGGCACTTCATATCAAAAAGGTTGCTTGCCTGCTTTATCCTAACGGGAAGCTTAAGAAGTGACATGTTTTTCAAAATAAAAGCTTCATAGAGTTACTTTATCCCCAAAGGAAGCTCAGCTAGAAGCATGTTTTTCAAAATAAAAATAATATTATTTTTAATGGTAAATATTTGTGATCTTCTCTTGAACGTATTCCTCATATTGTTGATGTTTCTGATGACCCCTGACCCCCTGCTGTGTTCCTGCAGAGAGTCCAGTGTGTCCTGTAATGGCCTGAGGGGCCGCCCCCCCTCCCTGCTCAAAGCCCCGTCACTGAACCCCCCCCCCGCCATGGGAGACGGTCTGGAGGCCGGCAGCAGCCTCAACCCCCCCTCCGCCCCCCCGTCCCTCGCCTTCAACGCCCCCGTCCCAGAAATATGGAACCCCTCCAGACCCAAGAGACAGACCAACCAGCTGCAGGTAAAACATCCACTCTTATTCTGAAGGATTGAGATAGAGATGAGGCTACGCTAGTGTTATTAGCTTGCTTTTCAAAATAAAAGCCCCATAGAGTTACTGTATCCTTAGATCAGTGTTTCTCAAACTTTTTCATACCAAGGACCACTTAACCAATACAAAAACACTCGCGGACCACCAAACTCCACAATATCCCAAAACACATCATTTTTCTAGAACAGATTACAAATCGCCTGAAAATGGTACAAACAGGTGGCAACATGTGTGACAAAGGTGTTGCGCTGGGCTATATCATGCAATCGATAGAAACTTAAGCTCACGCTCCATTGCGGAGATATTCCCGCGAGAGTGTGGAAAACTTAAATAAAATTATTTATTTCAAATCTGAAATGTTGCCAATATACTCACTGACCACTAGGGGGCGCTCACGGACCACACTTTGAGAAGTACTGCCTTAGTGGCTTGTTTTTCAAAATACAAGTTTCATAGAGATACTGTATCCCTAGAGCAGGGGTGCCCAACCTTTTTTGAACCGAGAGCCACTTTTAAAGTTGCCAGTCTGCCGAGATCTACCAGTCCAAATAGAGAGGCGTAGCCATTACTGACAGCCTACTACCAGGTAAATACACACTTCTACTTGTATAAAACTGACCTTTGTACGTTTAATACCTCATAAAATACCGCAGATCCTTTATCTTACCTCTTTCTAATCTACACACATACAAGTATTTAAATGAAGTTACACAACAGTGTTGTTGAAACAGAGTTTATTCACACGTCACTACAGTGGGTAATGTTTTCAAGAAGCATTGAACAGTGCTGCCACATATGATACAGGGAGAAAAGACTCTGAACCCTTTCTTTGCCATTATATACAAATAGTGTTGCTACAAAAGTATAAATGAGGCTTCCTAATAAGACAACTCAGATCTGAAGCTACTCAGGAATCTGCTGCCAACGTGCAATAACAAAGACTACATTAATAGAATCAAACCCTTTTTTGTTGCATTTTAGTCGAGTATAAAAAGAAATGGCTTTAAAATAGGATGCAAGCAACACTAGCTTCTTAACCTGAATTGATAATAGACTATAATCAATTTAAGTTTGCATTCTTATACCATTTTGTACAATCATTATAATGAATAAGTTCAAACAGCTTACAGCTGATTAATAACGGTATCTAACTTGAGTTTTTATTATATCAAAAACCTGTTGAAATGCTTCTGTTATTTTTACTGTCCCCAAAAGCGCGTCGCAGCCTCCAGGAATGCTTCTTTCATAACTTTGCCGTCTTTGAAAGACTTCATGTGTTTCTCAAGAACGTGACTGACCCGATAAGATGCTCTGGTAGCAGCCTTGCTCTTGTTGTTGGGCCTGGTGAAAATGGACTGCTGTGCATTTAGCTGTGCTTTCAGGCCCCTCCCCTTTTGGAGCGTAGGGCAGAATCAGGAGGGAGTTCCGTCTCGTAGCGTTTGTGCACTGTTTTGAAATGCCGCTCCTAAATTACCCTTCTTCGATAAAGCAACGCTCGCATTGCAGATGAGACAGATGGACTTTGAATTGGAATAGATACAAAAATAATCATCCTCCCACTCGGAGTGAGAATTATATATTTTGGGCTTTCTTGCTTCTGCCATAATTGCGGTCTTGTGTGTGTGCGGACTGTCACTCCTGTTGACACGGACAACGTCAGCGAACTAGTGCACTGCCCACCAGCCACGCCCCCACACATGGGGTCACGCCGGCCAATCACAAAGCTTTGATGCGTTCAAGTGCATTATTCTGGCACGGGAAGATTATGTTATAGGACATTAACGATAAAACAGAATATTGTTGTTCTATTTTTAGACACATCTCGCGATCGACTGGGAATCTCCCCGCGATCGACCGGTCGATCGCGATCGACTGGTTGGGCACCCCTGCCCTAGAGGCTGGTTTTTCAAAAATAAAAGCCCCTTAGAGATACTGTATCCTTGGAGGCTTGTTTTTCAAAATAAAAGCCCCATACAGTTGCTTTTGGCCCCGTCTATATACTAACTGTATCATTACAGTATACTCAGGAACGGTCACATGGAGTAACTGTATACTTATGGCAAGCTCCGGGTCGAAGTATATCAATAAAAGCCCAGGAAAGAAACTGTATGTTTACTGGGTCTCAAGTTATGGCTTATTTTTCAAAATAAAAGCCCCACAGAGTAACTTTATCCTCAAAGGAAGCTCAGCTAGAAGCATGTTTTTCAAAATAAAAGCCCCACAGAGTTACTATATTGTCATCATTTCATACTAGCACCTGTACAGCCCTACTTGTGCTTGTAATTAAATGTTTGTGTGATTTTGGTCTTTTCCAGTTCCTGCTTAAAGAGGTGTATAAGACGTTGTGGAAACATCACTTTGCGTGGCCCTTCCAGGCTCCTGTAGATGCCATCAAGCTGGGCTTACCTGTGAGTCACACCTCTCGCATGAAAACCTCACACACATATATCTTTATTTATTCTACAGTTTCGACTGTTTTTAAATGCCTTTGTCTGAATGTCTTTCATTTTTGTAAAGCACCTTGAAGTGCCTTGTGTTGAAAGGTGCTATATAAATAAACTTTCTTTCCCCCTTTCAGCTGGACATGTTGTTGTTCTGTAGATCTTACAAACCAAGAGGAGACACTTCCTTCAGTCTCTGCAATCTGTCGCTAATGTTTATTGATTAGCATCTCCTTAAGTGCCTTATATCTACTCGTAGCCTTTTCCTCAGTCTCCTTCTCACACACTTCCCTTCTCCTTCAGGACTACTACAAGATCATCAAGATCCCGATGGACATGGGCACCATAAAGAAGCGCCTGGACAGCCACTTCTACTGGAACGCTCAGGAGTGCATTCAGGACTTCAACACCATGTTCACCAACTGCTACATCTACAACAAGGTGAGCTTCACATCTGTGTATCAGAATGTATGAAGTCAACACAAAGAGTCTCAGTCATCTGACCCTAAAGCTGGGAAGACCCTTCAGATTGAGATTCATTCTCATATAGGAAAATACTGATCTAATAACAGAGTTCTGTTCTTGAATCAACTTTTTTTTTAAATCTTAATTGTCATTTCCCTCTTCCAGGAATCTCCTCAGACAAAGTTTGGGCAGAATAATACATTTCTAATGTTAAATAACTAAAAAGTTTCGAGATATTAACCTCTTTACATTGACTTTGCATGTAATCACGACGTGGCTAAAATGCGCTTTGCGTCAGGTGTTAGGCCACCATTAGTGTGTGTGTGTGTGTGTGTGTGTGTGTGTGTGTGTGTGTGCGTGTTGCGTTCCGTTCACTGACACCTCGTTAAAAAGCCTCTCAGTTAGTGTTAGCCTGCTCTGATATCAGTGTGAGGATAATAATAGTGTTTCACATGTTGTGATGTGACAGGAAGCTCATTGTGTGTGTGTGTGTGTGTGTGTGTGTGTGTGTGTGTGTGTGTGTGTGTGTGTGTGTGTGTGTGTGTGTGTGTGTGTGTGTGTGTGTGTGTGTGTGTGTGTGTGTGTGTGTGTGTGTGTGTGTGTGTGTGTGTGTGTGTGTGTGTGTGTGTGGTGTGTGTGTGTGTGTGTGTGTGTGTGTGTGTGTGTGTGTGTGTGTGTGTGTGTGTGTGTGTGTGTGTGTGTGTGTGTGTGTGTGTGTGTGTGTGTGTGTGTGTGTGTGTGTGTGTGTGTGTGTGTGTGTGTGTAGCCTGGCGATGACATCGTCCTGATGGCGGAGGCTCTGGAGAAAGTTTTTCTGCACAAGATCACAGAGATGCCGCAAGAGGAGAAGGAGATCGCCGTGGTTACGAAGGGTCGTCGGGGGGGCCGCCGGGAGCCAGGTGAGAGTTTCACTTTACAGGATGTACAGGTGATCTGTCAACAGCACGTTCGACGCTTCTGTCCAGAGGGACTCGTCTCAAATCGCCTTTCTCTTTCACTGCTGTGGGAAAGGGTTCGTTTTGAATTTGGTCTTTGGTAACTTTTATTTGGAAATCCGTTCTTGGTCCCTTATTTTTATGAAGGCATGTCTTTGTGACTTTTATTTTGAAATCCTTTCTGGGTCACGTTTATTATGGAGTCAGTTCTTGGTGAGCTTTATTTTGAAATCCGTTCTTGGTCACGTTTATTATGGAGTCAGTTCTTGGTGAGCTTTATTTTGAAATCCGTTCTTGGTCACGTTTATTATGGAGTCAGTTCTTGGTGAGCTTTATTTTGAAATCCGTTCTTGGTCACGTTTATTATGGAGTCAGTTCTTGGTGAGTTTTATTTTGAAATCCGTTCTCGGTCACGTTTATTATGGAGTCAGTCTTTGGTGAGTTTTATTTTGAAATTCGTTCTTGGTCCCTTATTTTTATGAAGGCAGTTCTTTGTGACTTTTATTTTGAAATCCTTTCTGGGTCACGTTTATTATGGAGTCAGTTCTTGGTGAGCTTTATTTTGAAATCCTTTCTTGGTCACGTTTATTATGGAGTCAGTTCTTGGTGAGTTTTATTTAGAAATTCGTTCTTGGTCCCTTGTTTTTATGAAGGCATTTCTTTCTGACTTTTATTTTGAAATCAATTCTTGGTCACTTTTATATTAAAGTCAGTGCTTGTATGCTTTTATTTTGAAATCGTTTTCATTTGAGGCATGAGAAAAAAACATTTTTGTTTTCCTTCAGAGTAAAGGGAGTTGGTCGTGTTCAGGGTGTTGTTTAAATGTGGGTTTAATCCAGCTGTTCTGACAGGTTGTTTTTGACTCACCTGACCTGCTGAACTGGAACATTCAGTTCCTCTGCACCGGCTCACCTCTCCATTAACTCCACCTGTCTCAGAACAACACCTTCATAGCTTCAGGCTTATGGTCCCATTATCAAACACCACCCCTTCAACAGGTTATTAACAGGAGGGCGGGGCGATGGTGAATAATATCTTGGTACTTATTTAGTGGTGATTGATACCAAGCAGGGCCGTTTCTTCCTACAGACGGACTATTCAGATTCATAGGGCCCCCGCGGGCACTAGGGGGCCCCCAAGCTGAACGTTCAGGTTCAGCCTCAATATATTTGGGGAGAATTCAAATGAGCCGTCTTTATTTGTAGCGAGCCAAGCCCCTTCCTGTGTTCGGTGAAGCATTATTTACAAATCTAATGTAGGATCAGAGATGGGGTCGTTACTAAAAAAAAGTAATATATTACACTACTTCGTTACTCTCTACATAAAGTAACTCGTTACTTTACTCGTTACTTTACTCGTTACTTTACTCGTTACTTTACTCGTTACTTTACTCGCAGGGCCGGCCCGCCCCTCCCTACAGGCAGATCACGCAGACTGCGGCGCACCTACAGTGTGCGCGCCACAGTTTTGCCTCTGCGAGACTCCACTTGCACCCACAATTACTATTGCATTAAGGAAGACATAACACATGTCTTTCTTTGTGCTCTAAAATATGCTACCAGCCACACAACAAGCTAACAGTCTGTGAAACGTCAAGACACTAATTAATGAAACCAGTTCAAGACGCATTATTCTTATCATTCTTTATGAGCGCAGTCACGGTAAGGTATCTAATTACTTATGTATTTAGTATTCCATAACTTAGTAACAGAGATGGTCAAACTAAAGTGGTAGAGACAGAATTCCTACAATGAAGCGGGACATTGAACTGTTCACCCGTGAGAGGGCGATCAAGAGAAGAGAGCAAGCAGCGCGTTGAGGGAGTTCACAGATGAGAAGACTCAGCCATGTTTATGCAGCACTGCACGTGGAGATGTGGTCTCGCAAGTCGTGCAGATTACATAGGCCTACATGTATGTAAACCTGCGGCGGAAACCCCTCTAGTCTGTCAGTGAGTGTGATTATTTTATAAAAGTAACGAAGTAACGCGTGTCGGGGCAATGTTAGTAACTGTAGTGTGATTACTAAATTATAAAAGTAACGCGTTACACTTCTCCGTTACCGACAAAAGTAATATTATTACATTAACGCGTTACTTTGTAACGAGTTAGACCCAACTCTGTGTAGGATATAAACACAACTAAACTGCAATGATAGCAAAGCTGTGGCTTGTGTTTGTGGGGATCAATAAAGTCAGATCAAGGTGGCTTTTATTTTGAAGGCTGTTCTTCATGGCTTTTATTTTGAAGTCAGTTCTTCATGTCGCTCTTAATCCAAAGGCAGTTTATCTGATTTGTTGAAAGTTGGTATTTTTTCTAAAACCGTATTTAATATTTTTCTTCCAGGTGTGATCTCCAAGTCTGACTCGGGCCAGGACTCCTCCTCCCCCTTCTCCACCCCCCACACTCGGGAGGGTTTCTCCTCCCCCCCCACCACGCCTCGAGCAGCTCCCCCCCCTCAGGCCCCCTCCCCCAGCTTCTCCTCCCCCCCCAGCTCTCTCGTGTCCCTCCCACCGCTCCCTCTCACCTGGGACCCCCTTTCCCCCCCTCTCACCTGGGACCCCCCTTCCCCCCCTCTCACCCGGGACCCCCTTTCCCCCCCTCTCACCTGGGACCCCCCTTCCCCCCCTCTCACCTGGGACCCCCTTTCCCCCCCCTCTCACCTGGGACCCCCCTTCCCCCCCTCTCACCTGGGACCACCCTTCCCCCACTCTCACCTTGGACCCCCCTCCTTCCCCCTGTCAGCTGACGCCCCCCCCCCAGGGCCTCACCTCCCTGCCCCCCCCAGGCCTGACGCACCCCGGCCTCCCTTCCATGCTGCAGAGCCCCCCCGCCCTCATCAAGGTAAGCAGAGGAAACTGTATCTGTTAAGGATGATACATGCTTTTATTTTGAAATGTTAGTAAACATTAACATATTATATGAGAATATAGCAAATGGTTATTTTACATTCCAGTTTTACTCGCTTTTATTTTGAAAGTTAGATCTATGTCACTTTTTAAAATCAGGTTTTTTTTTTTTTTTAAGTAAATTCTCAATGATTTTCTTTTGAATGAACATCTTTAGCGCGTTCACACCGGAGTACTTTTCCCCGTACTTTTCCCCTTTAGTTCCGTGAATACCCCTTATGTTGCGTTTACACCAAAAAGAATACTTAGTGCCGAGAACTTTTACCCCCATGTTTAGTGCCTGCTAGAGAGGTGGTACTCTCCTGGGGGGAAAAAGTGCCCCAATTCTGATTGGCTGGAAGAATTGCAAACCACGCCCCGTAAAACTCGGAAAAGTTTTGTGAAGCCGCCATTGTATTTGTGGCATTAGCATTATTAGCATTAGCATTAGCCCCGCGCACCAACGCAGAGAGAATAACTTATGGCAACACAAAATAAAACATGGGAGCGGTGGAGATGAGGAGGTGTCGGCGTTCTGGCGATTTGCTCTGAAGGCTTCAGTAGAAGCTGCTGGGAGTCCCAGCAGCTTCTACTGAAGCCTTCCCCAACTCCGGGGACTTCCGGCCGGGGACTTCGGGTGGCAGTATACACCGTGAAGTGGTTTGCAGCCTGCCAGTAAACCCAAAGCAGGAGAAGAAGAAGTGACGTCAGCGGCTCATTTGCGTAACCTTCCCTCAGGGAAAAGTACTCCAGTGTGAACGCGATTGGCCCTGGGGTAATTAGTGCCGGCACTAAGTACTGCAAAGTACGCGGTGTGAACGCGCCTAGTGTCTCTGTCTGAGATGAGTGTGACTCTTTAAAGCTGCCTCTCCACTAACCCCTCTCTCCTAAACTCCCCCTCCGTCCGGCAGCAGAGGAAGAGTCAGAAGAGGAAAGCCGACACCACGACTCCCGCCAACGACCAGCTCAGCGAGTCCTCGCCCGCCGACGCCCGGCCGCGGCGCGACAGCATCCGCCCGGCCAAGACGCCCAGGAAGGAGGCGTCTCAGCCGGACTCCCAGCTGCACCCGGGCGGGGGGGCGCTGCTGGTGGGGGGGGGGCGGGTCTCTGAGCAGGCAGGAGCAGATGAGGTCCTGTAACAGAGTCCTCAAAGAACTGCTCTCTAAGAAACACATCGGATACGCATGGCCCTTCTACAAGCCGGTCGACGCCCGAGCGCTGGGGCTGCACGACTACCACGACATCATCAAGCACCCCATGGACCTGAGCACTGTGAAGGTCAGTACTACAGAGTACTACACACTGTGTACAAGTACTACAGAGTACTCACATACTGCAGTACAAGTACTCACACCCCATGGACCTGAGCACTGTGAAGGTCAGTACTACAGAGTACTACACACTGTGTACAAGTACTACAGAGTACTCACATACTGCAGTACAAGTACTCACACCCCATGGACCTGAGCACTGTGAAGGTCAGTACTACAGAGTACTACACACTGTGTACAAGTACTACAGAGTACTACACACTGTGTACAAGTACTACAGAGTAGGGCTGCACGATTTTGGAAAAATGGAATTGCGATTTTTTTGACAAATATTGCGATTCGATTTGCGATATTTGTTTTGAAGCGACCCAACGGAAGTTTATTGTAAAATGCGGCCATATCTCCGGCTAGGAAGGTCGCATCAACGTGCTCCCGTCTCTAGCGCCCCGCAGCCCGAGCTACGAGTGAAAGAACTAAACTTACATGAAACTTCCGTTGGGTTGCTTTAAAGTCCAGCTTCAAGTGATGTGTCGGTCGCGAACGAGCCAATTCTTTTGAACGGCTCTTTGGTACGAACGAGGGGACCCGAGTCGTACTGGGTGAGAGCCGTTCTTGTTATCGTTCCATCGTTGGCATTACTTGGCAGGTGATTGGATCAATCTGTCTATCACCTTCTATCATGGGCCACTTCTGATTGGTTAACAATGGCTGGTACATGTGGAGCACAGCACTTCTGATTGGTTAACAATGGCTGGTACATGTGGAGAACAGCGCTTCTGATTGGTGTGGATGACTGACACACAAGAAGAACAAAAAAAAAAAGTAAAAGAAAAAAATTAATCGCATCATTTAAAATCGCGATTTCGATTTAAAATCGATTAATCGTTCAGCCCTATTACAGAGTACTACACACTGTGTACAAGTACTCACACCCCATGGACCTGAGCACTGTGAAGGTCAGTACTACACACTGTGTACAAGTACTAAAGAGTACTTGCATACTGCAGTACGAGTACTAACACCCCCCCTGTAGTCTCAGTTGATTGAATGGAAACGGTCTCCTGTGTTTCTTTAGCAGCTTCTGTGATTTAAATGTAAAGTAAGTGTGTGTGTGTGTGTGTGTGTGTGTGTGTGCGTGTGTGTGTGTGTGTGTGTGTGTGTGTGTGGTGTGTGTGTGTGTGTGTGTGTGTGTGTGTGTGTGTGTGTGTGTGTGTGTGTGTGTGTGTGTGTGTGTGTGTGTGTGTGTGGTGTGTGTGTGTGTGTGTGTGTGTGTGTGTGTGTGTGTGTGATGTGTGGTGTGTGTGTGTGTTGTGTGTTGTGTGTGTGTGTGTGTGTGTGTGTGTGTGTGTGTGTGTGTGTGTGTGTGTGTGTGTGTGTGTGTGTGTGTGTGTGTGTGTGTGTTGTGTGTGATGTGTGTGTGTGTGTTGTGTGTGTTGTGTGTGTGTGTGTGTGTGTGTGTGTGTTGTGTGTGTGTGTGTGTGCGTGTGTCCCCAGAAAAAGCTTGACGGCCGGCAGTACCGAGGCGCTCCGGAGTTCGCTGCTGACGTCCGGGTGATGTTCTCCAACTGCTACAAGTACAACCCCCCCGACCACGACGTGGTCAACATGGCCCGAAAACTACAGGTGAGGAGCGGGTGGTGTGCAAAACGCATCGTGAAATCTGTACGGGAGAGGATCGGGGCCACATGTTCTAAGTTTAAAGAATTCTGAGTTTAAAATCTGAATTCAGAATTTCAAATGTTTTGATTCAGATTTATTTCAGAGATCTGACAAAAAGTGTTTATTGTAAAAACGCATGTAGTTCTGAGACTAACGTCAGACTCTTGACTTCACTTCTTATTTGATATTCTTATATAAAAAATGATAGATAGAGAGTGTGTTTTGCACTGCAGGAAGTCCAAATGTGGGCGTACTGTTTTATAATCAGCTCAATCTTGCAGTGAGATGAGATCAGAAGTACTTTATTGATCCCATTTTGCAGCATAAAGGCAAGGCATTGAACAAAACAAATTAAAACAAAGGAAATAAACATTCCAAAATCTCCATAGAAATAAAATAGCATTAAAAAGAATAGAAAATGTACAAGTTGAAGTACGGATGTACAGCCCTGTCTCTCCTCCCTCAGGACGTGTTTGAGATGCGTTTCGCTAAGATGCCGGACGAGCCCGAGGACCGGACCCCGACCCCCTCCTCAGCTCTGCACCCCGCCCCCTCCTCTGCTCTGCACCCCGCCCCCTCCTCTGCTCTGCACCCCGCCCCCTCCTCCGCTCTGCACTCCGCCCCCTCCTCCACTCTGCACCCCGCCCCCCTCCATACGACAAGCCCCGCCCCCTCCCGCCCCCTCCGAGGACTCCAGCCCCAGCTCCTCCGAGTCGTCGGGCGGAGACTCGGACCACGAGCGGGAGCACCGATTGGTCGAGTTACAGGAACAGGTCAGAGTGGTGAGATTACAATAGGATAGAAATAGGAGGATGTGTTTTTATTCCTGTGTTATGTTTTTAGTTTAGCAGATTTCCTACAAAATGAGGACCTAAATGTGTTTCCTTTAGGAGGAAGAACTCTCAAGATTGTGCTTGAAAGATTAACTAAAGTACATTTGTATTTAAAATAAATTAAAGTTTATAAAGCCATCAAATAAAAAGGAACATTCTCCGGGAATAACAGAAGAAAAGAGACACATTTAAGGCGAGACACGGCACGCAAAAACATCGTAGGTGCTACTGAAAAGTCCACTTCAGTCGCACTTACATGCACCAAACCTGCCAGTTTTAGTCCTATCAATATGCTGAAGGTTTTTACAGAAAAGTTTGTTCATATATCATTCATAGCCTGAATTATATAACATGTTATACCTAAAAACATGGCGAAAATTGATATTTTACGGCAGTATTTTCTGATTTATGGAGTGATAAAAAGAGATATCCAAAATCCCTTCTGTAGAAACTTTAGATTCTAATATGCCTGTCGTGGCTTCCTTCCTTGTCTTTCCACCAAGCCACTAGACGCCTGAAACAGACGGTTCTAACTCGTTTCTTTCCTTAAAGTACTCACAGTTTGAAGTGTTGCTTGGCCTCCGATGGTTTAGAAGATGTTGCGATGTGTTTGCTCAAAATAAAATAATAAACTTTTGCACATGCAACAAAGAAAAATAGGCCTTTACAATATTCAAAGGAAATAGGCAAAACTCAAATAAAACAACACAACTTAGGTATTCTTTCTTTCTTGGTGACTTCACAACTTAAAGGGTACTTGTACGGTTTGTATGTACGGTTACGAGTACGATTGAGTACGGTTAAAAACTGTTCCTCATCGGCATCTCTCAACAGGTTGCCCATCACTGTGGCGTTAGCACAGGCGCCGTGGGAATTGTAGTCCTTTATAGTGCGTTGACTGCAGACGTCACAATTAGGTGGCCTTTCTTATCAAATCAAAATACTGGCTCTAACAATGACTGCAAAAGAAAACAAGAATTTTGAACCTGGCTTTATCCAAAGTTCAGATGTGTTCCTGAAATGTATTAAAAATTGCGCATATTTAGTGACATTATGGATCATTTGCATATTTCAACATGCTATTTCAGAAAACTTGTAATACAAAAAACAATTGCCTTATTGTAAGTAATTAACTGGAGAAACCTCTAGCTGATACCTTTAAGTTACAAAAATGACCCTATTCACCTGGGGTGTCTCGCCTTGAGAGTAAAAAGACGTATTATTCTTTAAATGATAAAAACCGGACTGTGAGAACACCAAACAAACAGCTTCCAACAGACTATACAACTAAAACCAAAATGCATGTATTAAATATAAGAGACTAGAGAGAGTTTAACACGATTACGGGTTCATATCTTTATTAAAAAAACCGCATTATAGAGGAGAATTGCCTGAAATGCGGTTGTTGTTTTTTTGACAATGCAATATGCCACACATGAGTAACACCTACGTCACTTCCGGGCAAAAAGTACGGCCCCGCCCACTTTTGGGGGAAAACAACGCTGTCATTTGAACGGCGGTCAAAACAAACTCTGACGTTTTTGCCAATCCGATCAGAAATGTAAGAAAACCGTGGATTTGTGGATCTTCAAAGAGCCCGGTTACGATGGCCAGTCAGGCGAACTATAGAGAACCGCAGTGACGCGTCCTAAAACCCGGAAGTAAGTTGGCATTTTTACCACTGCCGGTTCCTTCGACAAAAAGCAACGGGATCTCTCCATAGGGTTTTGGAAACCATCTGAACTAAGGTCTGTGGTTGAGACACGTTGAAGAGACGGATCAGGTTTGTTCTAGGACATTAAATCATCAGCAGTGACCCCACTGGTGATTTCTGAAGAGTGGACGTGTCTGAGAAACGATGGTTGTTACCAAGTGGCTGAATAGGACTACAGAAGTCGTGGAGGCCGTTGTACGTCATTACGCCGAACACGTGAACACTCCTCTAAGTTAGTTTCTGTTCAGCTTGAAAGCAAGTCCCTGCCTCCTGCAAAGTGTTCAAACAAACGCTTCAATCAATCAATCAATGTTTATTTATAGCCCAATATCACAAATGTTACATTTGTCTCAGTGGACTTTACAGTTTGTACAAAATATCAGTATGACAATACGACACCCTCTGTCCTTAGACCCTCTGTCCTTAGACCCTCTGTCCTTAGACCCTCTGTCCTTAGACCCTCTGTCCTTAGACCCTCTGTCCTTAGAGCCTCTGTCCTTAGACCCTCACATCGTACAAGGAAAAACTTCCGGAGAAAAACCCACAGTTTAAAGGGAACATGGGAGAAACCTCAGGGAGAGCAACAGAGGAGGGATCCCTCTCCCAGGACGGACAGACGTGCAATAGATGCCGTGTGTAAATTGAAAAGATAATACATTTGCAACTCGTTCCATCTAGAATCTGTGTGTTTGAATCTGGATCTGAAGTTGGCGTGACGTTGAAGCAGCGAGCCTGCTGTAGTTCGTTTTAACGTTAGCATTTTGCTTCTGGCGACTAGATTTATGATTCGAAAATGATAAAAGTCGACATGTGGAGATTATCCGGCTGAACAAAACGTGATCCGTCTCTTAAATGTGTCTCAACCACAGACCTGATTTCCAGCTATTTTCCAAAACCCTATGGAGAAACTGCGTTGGTTTTTGACGAAGGATCCGGAAGGAGTTTACTTCCGGATTTTAGGGCGCGTCACTGCGGTTCTCTATTACAGTACATCATTGGAAATCGACGAGCGTGCTCGATATATGGTTAAATATAGCAGCAGGCGATCGATGTCCATAGATGAGAGTAACATCTACGTCACTTTACGGCCCCGCCTACTTTTGGAGGAAACCAACGCTGTCATGTGAATGGCGGTCGAGCCTGAAGCCACAGAGCTCCTTTCTTCGTAGAGGAAGTACAGAAACACTGAACCCTGGATTTGTTTTAATGTTTGAGGTAAACGACACAGCAGCTTTCTGGCATGTTAAAACTATTATTTTCCGCCTCGCTCATGAGAGTAACAGCTGGAGAAATTACGGCCTCGCCTACTGATTTTAATTTAACCATATATGGAGCCCGATTGTCGATTTCCAATGATTTCATGTAGTTGTTTGCCTGCCTGGCCGTCGTGATCGAGCTCTTTGAAGATCAGAAAATCCACAGTTTCCTTACATTTCTAATCGGATTGGCAAAAACTTCAGAGTTTGTATCGACCGCCGTTCAAATGACAGCGTTGTTTTCCCCTAAAAGTGGGCGGGGCCGTAATTTTCGCCCGGAAGTGACGCATGTGTTACACTCATGTATCGCTGAAGAGGATTGGGGCCACGTTTTGTTAGTTCTTTAGAGATCTGACCAAAAGGGATTGTTGTTTTTTTCTGACTTCAATCTCAGAATTCTGGAATTAAAATAGTTATTTCTGAAAAACTAAATTCTACGATGTTCCTGGTAGAGCGGGAGGGTGCGTATGAGACGGTGTTTGTGTTGTTCTGAATATCTTTCTGTGTGTTTGCAGCTGAAGGCGGTCCACGAGCAGCTGGCCGCCCTCTCGCAGCCCCCCCCCAAACCCAAGAAGAAAGAGAAGGAGAAAGAGAAGAAGAAGGAGAAGGAGAAGAAGCACAAGAAGAAGATGGAGGAGCCGCTGGAGCCCCCCCCCCCTCCATGACGCTTCCGACCGCCAAGAAAAACAAGAGCAGCAAAGAGCCCGTGGTCCTGAAGAAGGAGCGCAAAAAACCTGGGTAAGTGGGAGGGGTCGGAGAAAACTCAGAGTTGAGAAATAACTTCCATATTCTCTCTGAGAGTAAAGCGGTACTTTTACCATAACAACCCAATCAGCAGGAGATGAACTGAGAAGTGCATCCTTTTGGAGGAAAGACTCTAACATGTGGGAGAACAATTCACTAAAGTACATTTATATTTTAAATAACTTCAAGTTTATAACGCCATAAATAAAATGTAACAATAACAGAAGAAAATAACACATTTAAGAGACACACAACATATTAAGAGACACACAACATATTCTCTTTAAAGACCTCAAATTACAAGGACAAGAAATACAACTTAATAAGGAAAAATTGAAGTTTGCTCGATAAAAAAAACGTAAAAATAATCTGAAAGAAATGAAGGATTGAAGTCACACATTTCCAGAGAAACTGAAACAATAAAATCATTAAAAAGCATCCAGACTGGGAGATGGCCGTTCATTTAGGTTTAGAACTCTTGGGGTGTTTCTCAATGTCTAGGACGCTTGCTTGGTAGCACATGTTCTTCCGAGTCAGGTCCTTCAGAAGTAGGGATGCATATCGTTGACTTTTTTACGATACCGATACCACTGAAGGATACCGATACTCAACCGATACATATCGTGATACTTTGAAAATGTATCATCCCACAATTACTCCCATGAAGCGCTTTACGATATAGTTAACATGTCAAATGAATATTAAATTCAATTGTGGGACTTCTTGGACCTTTTAGTTCTGAACAAACAATGAAAGATACATTAAAAAATATGCAGAAAACCGATTATGGAATATCTTTTATAACACCCGCCATCAGGTGTGCCGCGTGAAAAGCACATCTTGTCAATGCAAACAGACCGTTATAGCACCGTTATAATTAATGTTAAACCTGAGATTCGACCAGAGAACAAATACATAATAGAATAATGGTCATGAGATCTCGGCACAAACAAACAAATCTCATCTTTGCTCACTGCCTTCTCTGGAGGAACTCTTCAGCCAACGTTGCCTCAACAGAGCAGGCAAAATAATTGCAGACTCTTCACACCCTGGACACTTCCTGTTTGCTCTTCTGCCCTCCGGTAGACGCTACAGGTCAATTCAATCAAGGACAAACCCACTGAAAAACAGTTTCTACCCCAGAGCCATACGAGAACTGAACACTGTCAAACACTGAACTAGCACACACACAGTTACAACTTGCAACTGCACTACTTTTTAATAGTTTTATTAATTTATTAACTGATCGACATCAGAGATGCCAAATATCATCCCTGTGTTTTTATATTGTAAACTGTATTTAAATAATGTGCGGGCATGTATGCATGTTGGTATGGATGTGTGAGCATATGTTTATGTGTGTATATGTTTATATAGATATATTTATTCGTTTTATGTGGAAATGCACTGCGAGGATTGCTTTTTTAAATTTCGTTGTACCTGGTGCGATGACAATAAAGGAATTCTATTCTATCTATTCTATTCTTCTATTCTATTCTTTAAAATCAACATTTGCCTTCACTGGTGAGAGAAAACAAATCCCATCACAGTTCATTTGTGGGACTTTTACCTTTCTAGTATTGAACAAACAATGAAAATACATAAAATATGAAGAAAAACGATTTTGCAATCTAATGGATAACACCCGCCATCACGGGACTCACTTTGAAAATCCATTTTTTAAATTTATTTTTTATAAAAGTATCGAAACCGGATCTGATTTCGGTACGGTATACCGTAGCCACCAGTATCCGGTATTTCGGTAATACCGGATACCGGTATGCATCCCTATTCAGAAGCGAGGCAAGAATCCTTCCTCGCCTCGGAAAATGAAGAATGGGGGAACAGGCTAACAGGTGTGCGTCATATGCGAGGCACCGCCTTAAATGGAGCGCGATTTCCGCCAAAGATTTTGGAAATTGGTCCGTGCGCAAAGCATTGTGGGTATTTTAAGACCATGGAGGATACACATGTGCAGCCTCGAAATTTCTCGCTACGAAGGACGCCGGCCTCGGTAGAATTCCAAGAATCCTGGACATTGGAACAGGCGGCACTCGATGACGTAGCATCCTTGAAATAGTGGCTCTGGAGCATCCTTCCTCGACATTGAGAAACACCCTTGGAATCTCTTGAGTTTTGTCTCTTTAGTTGTTTCCTGTGTTGTATGTGTCTCACAGATGTTCTAATAACTAGAGCGTATGTAATCCTTTGTCCCTGCAGGAAGAAGGAAGGAGTTAAACACAGTCGCCCGCTCGTGGCTCCTCAGCCCGGCCCGACGCCGCTCGTCCCCTCGGCCGCTCTGGAAGCAGAGGATGAACTGGGTGAGTCCAAATGTCCCTCTATTCACCTGGAGATCAGAATCAGGTTTATCACCAGGTGGGTTTACACGTACAAGGAATTTGACTTGGTGTCATGGTGCTTTCATAAAAGCAAAACAAACAAACAAATACAAATAGAAAACTATTTGAAGAAAAATAATAAAAAATATAGTAAAATATAGGATGCTAGTAAGGATGCCAGTAAGGATGCGAGATAATAACAGATATCAAAGGGGCACATTTATAATATTCCGGCCATGTTTCCACCCCAGATGTGTTCGGGGCCGTCACGGCGGAGCGGGGGAAGCCAATGTCGTACGAGGAGAAGCGGCAGCTGAGTCTGGACATCAACAAGCTGCCCGGAGACAAGCTGGGCCGAGTCGTTCACATCATCCAGACCCGAGAGCCGTCGCTAAAGAACTCCAACCCCGACGAGATCGAGATCGACTTCGAGACGCTGAAGCCGTCCACGCTGCGGGAGCTGGAGAAGTACGTGTGCACCTGCCTGAAGAAGAAGAAGAAGACGTCAGGTAGGATGACTCAGCACTACTCATTGTTGGGAAAACACTGAGTGTCCTCCTCCAACATGAGAGTAACATGATAACAAAGGTATCCCAACTGTAGCCGTGTACATGACAGGATGTGTGATTACCTAGAGCAGGGGTTCCCAAAGTGAGGTTGCCACCCCCGCGGGAGATGATTAAACATTTTAATTGTTTTAATTATTATTATTATTTGTATATAATAATAATAATAACGTGTGCATAGACATTTTTCAGGGGCAGAATTTCCCCGCAGCGAGGTTCCCCCCCGTTGACAATTCACTAGATCCTGAGATTGGAGCTCAAGCTGGGGACCAGGGATTATTAACATTTTTGAGATTTTGACAAAAAGTCAGAATCTTTTGAGAAAAATTCTGGATTTTCTGAAAAAAGTCAGTATTTTGAACATGACAGGATGATTACCTAGAGCAGGGGTGGGGAACCTTTTTCCTCTCAAGGGCCATTTCAATTTTTTCAACATCCTCCGAGGACCGTACAAATGATTGACCTCTGCTTAAAAAACCTAAAATCACAGCCCATTCATTTGGCCTTTCTTTCATGCTGTGCAAAGAAGAAGCAACCTCTGAATCCAGATATCTCACCATGACTCACGTATGCATGCACGTGCACGGTGTGGCATGCATGCTAGGGGTGTTGAAAATAATCGTTTCTACGATGCATTGCGATGCGGACGTGGACGATTCGGTCTCGATGCAGTGACGGAAGATAATCGGTTATAGCGTAGTAACGTTGCTTCCTGATTTTCCGGCCGCGGCTTTTCTATAACGTTTTTTTTTTCTGTCACTTTAATATCAAATCGGTCGGTGACGCAGAGATCAGGGAACAGACGTGACAGCGGCACAGCAACACCAAACACGGAGCAGTCTGCTTTATCCACCAACACAAGAACACCAGTCCAGAACCAACAGCAGAAGGACCCGCTCTGAATCACTCCGTGTCGCTGCGGCTCAGAGACTCAGCGATTTATGTTCTTCAAAGATAATCGCGTTACAATCATGTCAGGTTTTGGTGGATTTAATGAAGTCTTGGATTGCAGAGTATGAATGTCCTCTAGCTATTTGCAGACGATATATACGTGTGTAAAGTTTGTGAAGGCAGGAGGAAAAAAGCTTCCGCGATCACCGTCTCCTCTGTTCCTCTAAGCCCCGCCCCC